ATAAATGAATGGTACAACATATGAGTAATATTTAGGCAAAACTGATTGAAATAAGACTGAATGCCACCTGAATTCTTCATAAAGCATAAAAATCATTTTCCTATGAATCAGCCAGCTTTACTGGAACATCTGATTTGATTTTTTTTTTTTTTTTAAGAGTTTAACGCTTGCACTGCATTTGAATCATTTCCCTTACAATGTAAGTATTTGTGATTCATTCTCTGCTGTCAATGGCTGGTGGCCCAACGCATTTGTTTTCCCCTCCTTCTTAGCACTAAGACCAGCAATGATTCACCATCACTTCAACTGCAGGCCAACCATTTCTGTGATCCAAAGACCAAGTTTCTGTTTCTATCAACTTATAAATGCCCCTCCTCATTCATGAAGTAATATTCTAGTCTTCCAGATCCACTGTAATGAAAGATGATTCTACATCTCTTGCCTCGTTCAACCAAGAGCAGCTGTTCTGTTTCAATCCAATTATGTAAAAAACTCTTCTCCTTTCCAGCAATCACTGATAATAAATGAACAAACATTGTGCCTCTCAGACACATACAATGAAATCACTATTAAGGATCACACTTGTCCTAAAAAACCACTTGTTTTTGCTGTAATTATTTATCTTATTATACCCTCTGCTAGGCAACTGGTGTTTGCCTTTTTCTGTTTATAAGATTGTTTTCACTGACAATACCTTTGACAATGAACCACAAATGAGCAGCTACACTAATTTCTTTTTGTTTCTTTTAAGAAGTTACAATTATATTCTCCAACTGAAACAGACAATTTTAGAAAGGCAAAACATAATTATAAAATACTAGTAACTTTCAAAATATTCTTTCAAACAATCCTTCAAAATATTTCTTTTCTGGCTGCTGAGAAGAGGGGGAGAAGAATCTTGATCCAGACACACTTTTTCCAATCCACTGAGGGTCAATTGAGATGCCTATGATAAATAGGGAGCAGCTGAGAATTGATTGCCACTTAAAGTTTATCTTTCTAGGCTAGGGACAGAAGTTATACATAAACTGGTTTAAGTGATCAGAAACTAGTTTAAACCTGTAACAGAACATAAGTTCAAGTGCACATTTACCAGTTTCAAAATGGCCGAAACTGGTTTAAGATCAACCTAATTGAATGTAGTATCAGACTTAACTGATTTGGGTCAAACCAGGTTATGGAACTTGTGTCCCAGACCCCTCTGGCTTTTTGAATGTCTGTCCCTAGCCCTGGTGACCACTTTTCCCCTCTTTCCTATCTAAATGATACTAGAGGGACACCTTTGAATGTATGATAAATCATTTTTTATTTGAACAGGACATAATTGGAAAAGAAACACATTAGGAACAATTTTTTTCCTCTAAATTCCTGAAGATGCCAATATATAGTTTGACTGGTCTTTTTTAAAAAAAAAGGGTATCTGGGATTTGAGAGTGAATAAGCCAAATCCACAATTTTTGGACAGAAATATATGTCGAACAAAGAGGAATTCCTAAGTAAATATTCCTGGTCCTTATTAAGAACTCATTCATCGGGTCTGTAAGTTGTACTTCATCCTCTGAATCTTAAAAAAACCTTATTTTAGGGGCAGGCTGGTGATGGCACACTGAAAGAAGATGAAAGCCAAAGCATTAGAGAATGATTTTTGGAGTTGAGGTAAATAAACCTCTAGATATGACAAATGAAGCTCCTTACTCTCACCCAGTTACTAAAGAATTTTCTTTTGTGAAATGGCAGGAGGGTGTCAGCAGGTAAGACACCTACCCTTCTTAGTCACCATCTACACCACTGGTTCTAAACCTTTTTAGATTCAAGACACCACACAGACAATGCCAGCTCTTAGCTTTCACTCATTTTTTGATTATGGAAAAACAACAGAGCAATGCCTTCTGTTGCAAAGAACTAAGAAAGACCATAAAAGGTCAGAAATATTTCTGCTGCTACGGATTCCTATTTGAAATCTCTGGGTTTATCTTGTGAATCATGTAGGTGTTTTCACATCTAACAGCTAATAGCACCCAACATTCCACAACAACTTTAAAAGGATCTCATGGCACCACGGTTGAGAATCACTGATCTACACCCTGACAATGTACAACTTTAACCCTTCTTCCAAGGTCTGGCTTTACTGGCAATCCAGCAACAACAATGTAAAGGTTTTCACCTAAGCTTCTTTTACTTAACTTGTCTCAGGTTTCCCTAAAAAACTACTAGACCAGGGTGCTCAACCTCTAGCCTGTGGGCGAGATTCAGCCCATGGGACTCCCCACTGGTCTGGAAATGTGGCAGCAAGAGAGCAGCAGCACTGCTGCTTCACCGCCAAATTTTGGGACCTATGGGAAGCCCTGGGCCTACATGCTGAAACCAGCACCTGATCCCAGTGTGCAGGGCCCAGCAGGGAAAGCATCAGGACCCCAAGACCTATTTCCTAGCATGAGAGAAGGGGAAGAGACAGTGCCAGGCCCTCAGGGCCCAATCTCAGTGTACAGGGGAGGAAGAGGGTAGTGCCAGGCTCCAAGGCCCATTCTCTGTTCCACAGCTCAGCCCTGGTCCACTCATCTGGATCCACAGGGCCAAAAGGTTGAGCACCACTGTACTAGACCTTCAACTCTCCCTAGAAGCACATTCACCTCCCCTATTCCCAAGGTGCAGCTAACAACTTATACATGCCAAAATAAGGCAGCAACAACCAGTCAACATCTCCAGACCAGATTCTAACAGAGCAGGTGAACAGAAAAATCCAAACACCTTGTAAATAAGGAAAAGGATCCTTGACAGCGTAAGCCCCTGTGAAAGATTTGTTAATTAATTAATGACTACTGTTATCAGCGATATGGACAAAGGGTTGAAAAATCCTTGTATTTTTTTTCTCCACAACCAAGTCTTCCTCTTCTTCCTGAAAGGCCTCCACTCCACCCAATAAGTGACACTGTCTCTATTCTTATGCAAGCTAACAGGCCTGACTTTGCCATTTGTATGCTCAAGGTCCAGTACAACATCAGTAAATAATTGCCACACTGCCCTACCTCCACATAGGAAAGACCCACTGACACTGAATGCAGAAGATGATGGAAGCTAGCAAAAAGTGTCTCTTAGGAGAGTTTGCAAAAATTGAATGCAGATAATGCTACAAACTATAAGGAACAGCAGCCTAATACTAAACATTTTAAGCAACTATTCATAAACACTAGTTGAAATGTCCTTTTAAATATAAATTATGCATTATGCTTAAATAACAAAACCAGAGATCCAGGTTTCAGGTCCCGCTTAGATGCACAGTATTTCTAGCTAAGTCAAATAACTTCTACATACCAAATATGCAGTCATACTGCTCTGAATTTACATGTGCACATAACCAAACACTTAAATTTGTTTTATAAACTAAAGCTTTAATTTTAGAGTGTGCTCATATAAAAGTTAGCAACCCTCAAGATAGTATTACCCACTGCTGCCTTAAAACCCTCCCCCCAAGAAACAGCATTCCAAAAACTCATATTACAAGTGTGTATTGGAACAGCAAAGCTTAAAGAATACCAAACTTCTGATTCTGTTTCCTTCCTCTGAAGCTATTTTAAAATTGAAACATTTATTAAGCTGTAATCAGGAGATGAAAAGAATAGATATGTCATACAAACTGTTTATAAAGCTCTAGCAAATCAAAAGATATCTACTGAAGTTCAAAAACATACCAGATAAGCAAATAACAAGCTGAACTAACCCACTGGGGAGAAGGTGGGTTTAAAATGATCAGTTTACTGAAACACAAATCAGAATGGTGAAGTTGGAATTCTGTTAAGTGTATACATGCACTCCCATATGGGTGGAGGAGCAAAACAGAAGCAATGCAAAGAGAGAAGATACAACTTCAAGACTTAGAGAAAGTTACAGAAGAGCGTTTACTAGATTTTCTTTTCGTTTAAGATGACATTTTAGGTTTCTAAGGCCGCTGACAGACATTTAAAGGCATGATGAGATTTGATCCCTAATCCCATCAATTGCTCCTCCTGCCAGGCCACACATGCATGGCAGGACATGCAATTTTGGGATCAGATCCAAG